AGCAGGCCCGGGCTCGGAGGGTTCGGGCCCGGGCACCAGAGCCGCAGCCGCCGAGCACCACATGCTTGGCTGCTTCCCCCCACAGTAGTGGGAGCTGCAGCAGCGGCTGCTCCCGAGTCCAGCTGCCCAGGTAGGGAGAACGAACAGCTGCCGCCTGGCCCCAGAAAGTTGGAGCCCGGGGAGGAGGCAGTCCCCTTACCATACCTCTCTATTTTCCCGGACATGTCCTGCTTTTTGGAAATTCCTCCCGAACGGGGATTTGATGACTGAAAAGCTGGGCATGTCCAGGGAGCCGGATGTATGGTAACCCTAACCACTACCCTTCTATCTGGGGGCTCCATCACCACCCATGGGATAGCCCAGCCCCACCCAGCACACGCTCCCATCTCTGGGCTGGTGCTTCCCACTCCCGCTGCTCCAGGCAACAAGAGACCAGGGCTGGGGCTCACTCCCAGGTCCCCACATGGAGATGCTGCGACAGCCCTGGCTGGAGCCTTCAGGCCGAAGTCATCAGTGGCTTGCAAGGTGCTGTAAAGCAGACCCTCCTTGCATGTCTATTGACACCTGCCCTTGGTGCGAAAGGGAGTGGGGACTGACGGAGCCACACACTCAGGAGCTGGGCCCAGTCTACAGTAACTGACACCTCCGTGCCCCATCTTCTGGCTCTCCACAGCCCCTCAGAGTGGCACCCTCATGGCTCTGGCCTTTCCTTTTCCTTCTCCATCTCATGCTCTCTCCTTTGGCCTGTTCCTTTGCTCCTCCCATGTTATTTGTCCCCCTGTCAGCACCTAAGCAGCATAAGGCCCCAACCAGGTTCTCTTATTATCTGGAGAGACGCTCCTGACTCCCTTGCTTCCCTTGTGGGCGGTTCCGTCCCTCTTTGGGTGAACATAGGGAAGTTGGAGATGACAAGGAATTGCAGGTCAATATGCCTGGTCCACTATTAAGGGCGGTGGCTGGCCAGTCCATCCCGCACAGTAACGACGCTTCAAGAAATCATGTTTACGCTCATTCCCTTCATGCTCGCCCTTCCGTTAGCTGTTGATCCTGCCCTCCCAGCCCCCGCCTCTGAGACTGACAGAGCTGCCTCTCCTCTTTTCATCCCCCACAGACGTTTTGGGATGCAGCATTCCACTGGATGCAATGCCATCACTTTGCTCCTCAGGGAAACCAGCCCCAGTCTGTTGGCAGAGATTTCCTGGGATGCTGACTCTGAGTGGAATGAGAGGGGCTGCCCAGAGCTCGAGGCAGTGTCCTCACCTGCTCACGCTGCTGTCGCCTCTGGAGGGCACTCTGCACAGCTTGCAGCACAGCATCCTGGCGCAACGGGGAGTGGGCGCAGGGATGGTGACGCCTGCCTGTGAAGTGAAGAGCTAGAGCGCAAAGGGGAGGTTTGTCTGCCAGGGTCTTCTGCACCTGTTGCCCTCACGCTGTCCAGTGAGAGGGGCCCTGCACTCTCAGCATCAGCCAGAGCCAGCTGGGGAGAGAAGGGTGGGGGGGTTAATCCCAACAAAGCCAAACTGCTGTTATCTTCTGCACTCAACCTCCCAGTTACACTAGAGCAACCCAGCCACCACTGCCAAGTGGAAGGCCTGAAATGAGGCCCTGAGTGCTGAGAGCCCCCATTCCTGCTGACATCTGCGGGAGCTGGGGATGCTCAGCACTTCTGAAAGGGAGGCCCTTAAAGCTATTTAAACCCAGATAGCTATTGTAGACATCTCCGTGCTGACCTAGGCACTAACCAGCCTAATTCAGTTCTGACATGAGCACTTGGGGCCTACAGAAGGCCCTGGTCCAGGAAAGCACGTAAGCATGTGCTGAACTTTAAGCTCATGAAGTCAATGACCTTAAAGTGAAGCATGTGCTGAAATGCTTTCCTGCATCAGGCCCTATGTAATTAGTGCCCAGCTCTTGGGGATCCACATTTGAAAATGTTGACCTTGGCTACACTATCAGGAAATGCACTTTAGCCCCAAAACAAACACAAGCGGTGAAGAGAACTGTGCACCCAAACCAGGAGCAACGTTAGTGTCCAGTGCACATGGAGATAAGAGATTCTGCATGCCCAATTGCCAACCTAACCAAGCTCTCAGCACCTGATCACAAGAAATGCTGAGCAACTCCCAGTAACATCCATACTCCGCAGGCCCTCAGTTGGGAACACAATTGTACGTGCATAAAGCCATCTATAGCTTTGCTAGATGGGCAGCTCAAAATAATAATGCCTAGTTCTTTTCATTCAGAGATTTCAAATCACTTTCCCAAGGAGATTAGTATCATTATGCCCATTGTATAGATGGGGAAACTGAGGCTGAGAATGGGAAAGGGACTTGCCCAAGGTCTCCCAACCAGTCAGCAGCAGAGCTAGGAATAGAAGCCTATTCTTCTGAGTCCTAGTCCAGTGCTCCAGTGCACTGCCTCATAGAGCTCCTATGCTAGCGTTCCATGGACAGCTGTTTAAACTGTGACTGGTGCCTGCATAAGAGTGTCAGTACGATGGCCCCGATTCAGCAAAGTCATTAAATACCACTGCAGTCAATGGGACTTAAGCCCACGCTTAAGGGCCTATTGTTATGAAAGCAAGCACCAGGTCTAGAAATGGAACTGACAATAAGAGCCTGAAGAGCCATGGAATGACCTAGTGCATGCATCAGATTAACAACAGCATGAGCTGAGCACCAGATGGGAGGCCTGATTTCAAACAATCATTGAGCCAACTTTCAGAAGAACAAAGTGTACAATAACAGAACCTGTACTAACAACTCTGCTCTAGTGCCTTCCCTTAGATACCTGACATACTCCTTTCCAACACATGGGTAAGCAAAGAATCTGTACCATCAACTATACTGTTGTCTTTAATACACTATTAGTCATCAAATTTCCACTATTGAGCCATATGGTCTGAATCACCAAATTAAAACCATTCACAATATAGACATAAGGGGCCCTTACTGGATTTAGTTCTCTATTGATCTAAGGTACATATGGCTCCCATTACTGTAGTAGCTGAGCAACCTTGTGAAAGATCCACATTTTACAGATGGGGAACTGAAGCACAGAGAAGCTAAGTGACTTGTCCATGGTCACACAGGAAGTCTATGGCACAGCAGGGACTTGAATGCAGATCTTCCAAGTCCAAGGCGAGTGCCTTAACCACATCCTTGCATTTTGCTGTGAGTGAAATAGCACACCTGTGTGATGCTGTTCACGATTCGCTGCAAAGATTCACTTTCATCTTTCAGGTCCTGCACCTCCAGTAGCTCTCCAGTTTTAATGACTTCCTGTGTTCAAAGATAAGTGGTGTCTTAGTGATGAACATACGGAAAGATCAGAGAAAGAGAGGGGTGTGTGTGTGTGTGACTAATTGAGAGAGAGGAGTTTGTGGATATGTGTACCAGTTTCTGAATGTCCAGTTTTAGAGCAGAGATGGTCTTCTCTTTCTTTGCATTCTGTTCTTTAAGTTTCTGTCCTAAAGCAGTCAGTTCTGTTATCCTGAAAGATACAAGCCGGGCAGAGAGAGAGGTTGAGCAAAGTGAAGAAAGCACCAGGGGCTCAATGGCAAAGCTGACATTTCCCCAGCACCTTTCAGTCCCTCAAGGGCATTCAGAGACCGTTCAATGCAGAGAACAGCTGCTCGTACAAGGTGAGATCTACACACAGGAACTGGATGGATGGGGTGAACACCTGACACATTTCAGAGGTAATGACCTTAATCAAAGAGGCACCAAGCCAGGAGGATCGCTGAGCGATAGGAAGGGAGGGTGGAATGAGGAGAGTTAAAACTTTACACAGCTGGGAAATTTGTCACTGATTTACCATAATTCTGCTGAACAACAACCTCCTGGGCCACAGAATGCTATTTCCAGGGTATCTACTGTGTCATTTCCAGGAACATGAGAAGAAGTGCTTTAAATAGTCCATGGTGTTTACGGAGTTATTTTTCTAGCACATTTCTCAACATCAATATCAGAGGAATAAGAAGAAGCTGCAGCCAATATCATTCTTCACTCTCTTTCCCTAAGCTTGGAAGCCCTGGCCTGGCTAGCCGAGAATGGGAGGGGAATGTTGTCTCAAAGGCCCCAACCCCACAATTTGTTGGACGTGGGTAGGCTTCTGTGCTAGCATAGAGTCGCCGTCCATTGGCTTTAGCAGCTTTGGGTCAGTTGCAGGATTGGGCCCAACACCTATCAATCTTAGGCTTCCCCTCAGAGCTCCACTGGTGATCCCAACCCTGATACAAAGCCCGCTCCTGACTGGACAGCTGTCCCCCTGCGGCTCTGCAGTCACCCAGATCAGCTCTGGCTTTCAGCTTCTAACCAATGGATTCCGGATGTTTGTTTTCTCTAGTTTGGGGCCTTTTAGTTCTTAGAAAACACTTCTGTTGGTTTAATCTGTTTGTGGCTGCATCACTTTGAGCGGAAGTCGGATTCCATTAACGCATCACAGCCTGTCTGCCTAGGTATAGTGGTTATATGGCCCTCTTGGCCTCTGCAAGTTCACCTTGGGTCCCCAAAACATGCCATTGGAAGAGGGGGAGGGGATGAGATCGCATCCTGTCACTGACTTGTTTCCTAGGTCTAACCTAGTGATCAGCATCTCAGAAGAATCCTTGACAGATCAGTGGCATTATTTACATGCAGAGTGCAGCTGAGATCACTCCCACGCCTGCCTGTAACGTGAACCGCTGCCCCCCTTCCCCTTTCAATCTTTGTCGGTTATTTAAAACCAGTGATGAAAACAACAGGATCAAAGAAGGGTTTGGTGTTTGATTTTAGTTAGAGTCAGTCCCAGGCGGCTCCACCATGCCCCTGAAGTGGAACCCCTCCTGCCCTGGGCAGAGCACCCTTTTCTTGGGTGAGAGGAGATTTTGATTTCTGAGCTCAGATCCTCAGCTGGCCTAAATCAGCCCAGCCCCCTGCGTCCCACTGACATGAATGATGCTAAAAGAATTGACACCAACTGACGATTGGGCATTTTAGCTTCAACAGAGCTATGCTGATTTACACCCGCTGGGGAGCTGGTCCATGGGCTTCAATGGAGTTACACCAATTTACATCAGCTGTGCAGCTGGCCCTTCCTTGGAAGCTCTTAGGAAAAGCCAGAGGCAGGGAGCCGGAGCACGACCCCAGCTGGAGACCTCGCCGAGGATTGCCCCATTGGCTCGCTAGGCCCCATCACATCTTCACCTGGAGTTCAGCTCTACTTTCTCGCCATCCCAGCGGCTCTGGAGCTGAATCATCTCCCAGACCTTCTCCCGAAGCTGCTGCTCCAAGCGTGCCCCCTGCAGAGCCTGCTTCTCCAGTGAGCAGGCTGCGCCACTCTCGGACAGACGCAGGTTCGAGTCCAGGTTCAGGCAGGCAGTCTGAAGGCGGCGTGCAGTCCTTGCCATGTCTTTCTGGGCCTCAGCCAGGCCTCTGGCAACAAGAGAGAAATCGCCACATGTGAAGAATCACACAGAAATCCTTGTGGTTTTAGAGAGCATCACCTCAAAGTCCAGCCAGGGCTCCTAGCACCCAGCCAGCCAACAGCTGTCTGAGCCTCCTCCCAGCAACTACCAGGGCCCCAGCAATGGAAACCTACTCAGGACAGCCTGGCATGACTCACTTCCTGGGGGCACCAGATCCAGTGCCTCTCCTTTGGAAGCTCAATCCCCTGTCTGGCTGTTATGATGTTATTAATATGAACTGTGACCGTATAGATCATTGTTGCAACCAAAGTCCTATAGTGGCACCAAATCTTGTACAAAGGAGGTCACGTAAGGTGTCAATGAAAAGGTTATGATTTGCTTGTTATGATTATGCTATTTGTATGCATGCATCATTTTTGTATTTAAAGTTATAAGTATTGGCTCTATACTGTCTGTATTTCAAACTTGTGCTATGCTTCTGGGTGACACCCCAGACAATTTGGCATCAGCACTGCCTAGCCTGCTTGATGGCCAATTAAGGACAATCAGCTATACAACTGACCCATTGAGAGAAGGTCGATACACCTTGTGACTCAGCAAGGCATACAGGGACATGCCTATGGACAGAACTCTAAGGTTTTTCCATGCCATGTGCTGGTTGGCTTGTGTTTGGAACAAAGGAAGCACAAGCCATATGGCAAAAGGACTATAAAAGGCAGCTGCATCATCTCCATTTTGTCTTCAGTCCTGCTTCTAACCTATGGAGGAACTTTCATAGATTCATAGATTCTAGGACTGGAAGGGACCTCGAGAGGTCATCGAGTCCAGTCCCCTGCCCGCATGGCAGGACCAAAT